CGTCGTCGTCGGCGTCGTTGTCGTCGTCGTTGTCGTCGTCGTTTTCGTCGGCATCGGCGTCAGCGTCGTCGTCGCGGTGGTCGCCGTGGTCGTCGTGGTCGCCGTACGTCGTGCGTCGTCGTCGTCGTGGTCGTCGTGATCGTCGTGGTCGTCGTCGTGGTCGTGCTCGTGGTCATGGTCGCGGTCGTGCTCGAAGTCGTGGTCGTGGTCGTAGTGGTGGTCGTCGTCGTCATTGTGGTCGTCGACGTCTTCGTCGTGTGCGTCGTCGTTGTAGTTATCGTGGTCGTCGTCGTCGTCCGCGTCGTCCGCGTCGTTTGCTGGCGGCGGCGACGTCGTCGTCTAGCGTCGTCGTCGTTTTCGTCGTCGAGGTCGTCGTCGTGGTCGTGGTCGTCGTGGTCGTCGTTGTCGTCGTCGTCGTCGTTGTCGTGGTCGTGGTCGTGATCGTCGTCGTCGTGCGCGTCGTCGTCGTCGTCGTGGTCGTCGTTGTCGTCGTCGTCGTCGTCGTCGTCGTCGTCGTTGTCGTCGTCGTGGTCGTCGTCGTCCGCGTCGTCCGCGTCGTTTGCCGGGGGCGGGGACGTCGTCGTTTTCTTCGTCGTCGTCGTCGTTGCGGGGTGGGGTCGTTCTGATTCCTTCGTGTAATTTCGCTTGGGGGGGGCCCTGGACCCCTCCGAACAATTTTCCCGGGAGGGGGGGGGGTCCCGGACCCCCGCGAATTGTTTTCACGTGGGGGGGCCCGAACCTTACCCTCCCCCTCTGGTTTCGCGGGTGCGGGGGGGGGGGGGTGAAACCGCCCCCCCCTGCCAGCACCTGCAGAACGCGCTCTTTCAAAGGTCCCGGCCCTGCTGTTCCTGGGGGGCAGTGTGTGGACCCCGATCAAAATTTCTTGGCTGCCTGGACATCCGCGGGCGCCCAGGATCAGCCCCCCCCGGCCAGCCCCCAGGGGCCCCTTCCAGACGAAGGGGCCGGGGCGCTTCCCTCGCCATCGCTCGGACGTCCCTTCCGTGTTTTTTTTTTCGGTTTCGTGCGTGGTTTTTTCGCCGAATGATCAAGAATGCTCCTCGATGGTCCTCGCCGAAGGAAAAATGCACACGTCCGAGCGATGCCAGGCATCCGCCGCCGTGGCGTTTCCTGCACCTGTGCCTGTCCCAGTTCTGCCAGGAGTTCGGGGTCCGGGCATCTTGCGCTGCTTCTTCCCCCGCGCCCGCTGGACGTTCCGGTCTCGTGTCTGCAGCATGGCCAAGTGGCGCAGCAGCGGTTTCGGGCGCAGGCCCAGCGACCGAGCAGCCATCGTCTCTCCCGGTGCCACCTCCTCCTCGTGTTTTCGGAGATGCGTCTTCCGATTGTTCGGGGTCAAGGCCATCGGTGTCCGTCGTCCGCCTCCAGATGATGAGCAGCAGCGTCGGCTCAACAGATGGTCTCGCTTGTCCTCATCGCGGTCTGCCAATGATGCTGCCGCTCGCCCGCCTTCGGCCCCTGTGTCCGAACCCGCGCCTGTCCCCGTGGGTTGTCCCCAGGGCCCATGACACCTCCCCAGACGCACGCGTGTTCATCACCTAACCGGACTGCTGGGCGGTCCTCTCTCGGGGCATGTGCCGTCGGTTCGGTGGCTCAGCAGGCTGGCGTGTCTTCGCAGGTGCTCGCTGCCAGTTGCTTTACAGACGCGCTGCCCCATCGTACTTCTCGGCCGCGTGCTGCCCCCGCGCCTGCCCCCGAGGGTCGCCCCCGTTCGCGCTCCCGTCCCCCACGTTTGAAAGCCGAGGGCGTTCGACGCCGTACCTCCAGGGCGTTTGCTTAACAGTTGTCTTCTCCTCGCGAGGACTGGCTGCCGGTAGCAATGGCCACCGACAGCGTGAGAGCGCATCAGGTGTTGGCTACGGGGGGCGTCAGCGCGCACCTCCGGGCTAGGCGCGCAGGACATACGCACGAGGACACCATTCAATAGGGCGCTTTGCCGGAGCACGAGCTATTCCCCTGCCCACACGCGAATGACTCAGGCACGGCTGCGGAACTTTCTTCCGATTCTGTGCAGATTCCCAACTGCAGATCGTGCACGGGTAGGACATGGCCTGTTTCCAGAGCCAAGAATGGATGGTTGTTCTGCCTCATGTGTGTGTATGTGTGCACGCGTGTGCCCAACAAACCGCGCGCGTGATCGCACTGCTGTCCTATCACGCACGAAATTCGGCTTCGCAGCGCCAAGATGTGCAAATCAGACGAAGGTTCTTTGTGTAGGTCCTGCTGGATCGGATTCGCTCTCCCGCGCGAGAAGCATGGCTGGATCTGCTTGGTTCGGTCGCAGATCGCAGGCATATCCCGATGCTGTCCCCGTGTCAGGAATCAAGGCCTCTTGATCCTGGCCTGTGAGCCCAGGGCCTATTCGTTCTTTACAGGCCTTTGCATTCATGAAGTGCTGCCATCATCTTTGCGGCCGACTCTTAGAACCGTAGCCTGGCCCGCTGTTTGTGGGGCCCCCCCAACTGGCCTCCCCCTCAATCGGTTCCTCGCCCAGTCAGAAGCGCACATCATGCCGTACAGTTAGTTTTGTCCGCGGCGCCTATAATCGGATAGTGCGCGTTCGAGTTGTTCGTTCATGCACTTGTCTCTGCATCGCTCATCGCCTCAGCTCTTACTGACCTGTTCTGAGTTGCATGCGCAGCAGCTTGCCAAAACCTGGGATCAAGTAAGGGGCGTTCCGTTTGTCTCCTGTCGTTTTGCTTGATCCTCTCTTTTTCTCTCTCTCTCTCTCTCTCTCTCTCTCTCTCTCTCCCTCCTTGTCTCTGTCTCTGCTGTGACTGTTGTGACTCATGAAGCGACGGTCGAGCTAGCCAAATCCTAAGATGCTCTGCTCTGGACAGCCGCTCAATATTGAGATAGAGAGAGAGGGCATGGAGGTTCGAGGCTGTGTCTTCTCCCCCCTCCAGCATCTCCCCCCGCGCCCCCGTGCGTGCTGGCCTCGCGCCGCTCAGGCCACGGCCATGCGCGCTTGTTGTGGCCCGCTGCCTCTCGTCGCCGTGCGGCCCCGCTGAGGCGCTTGTATGGATGTTGTATGTGGTCAGCGATGTCTTCTCACCTGTGTGCAGTGCAGGACGAGTTGCTAGTCGTTGCCCTGTCAGCCACAATCTCGGCTTCGAGCTGCGAGCTTCTCGCCTCCAACCTGGGTTGGGGCACGCCCGTCGGGCACTAGAGCATCTCATGCGTTCTGTGCTGGCGCGTGCTGATGTCATTCGCGGCAGCGACCGCCTTGCGTCCCGGGTGTGTTGCCACACCTTCTTTCTTCTTGCCAGCCTTGTGGTTGGCTTATTCTTCTTTGCCAGACTCGGCGGTGGCGCAAACGGCATGACCCCTCGGCATCAGCTCCGCCCGCCACTACATAGATATAGCACGCCTAGAGCAAAGCCAGCGGCGAATGAACAACTCCCCATTTTCCGGTCTTCCATTCTGGTCACCCGTCGCTGACCTTCCTATCAACCCTGTTCTCATCTCCCCTCGCCTCCCACCGTCCCGAGTCCTCCCATCCCCCTCGCTCCGCTATCCTCTCCCCTCCCTCTCACCTTGTCGCTCGTCTCCTGTCCCTCCTCCCCTCCTCTCCCCATCTCTGCCCACCCCTCCCCATCCCGCACCCCCTCCCCTGTCTCTCCCAGACTCCCTCCCGCCCCCACCTCCCTCTCACTGCCCCTCTTTCTCCACATTTGCTCCACCCCCCTCCTCTCCATCCCAGACATTCGACGTCGCGCTTGTCCTCACATCGCGAGGAGGCGGTGTTCATCCTGAGCAGATCTTCGCCTGCCCTGGGGCCCGGCGACGAGCCTCCCGAAGCCGAGCACTCTCAAGCTTGTGACGGCGTGAACTTTGCTGCCCCGGCACGCAACACGCAACACGTAGGGTGCTTACACGAAGCTCAGCACGTAGACTGAACACGTAGGTCTTGCACGATACATTCGCCAAAACGTGAGCCAATACGCTGAGCCAGCACGCATCGTATTGTCACGGACGTTTTGAGCACGGTAGGTACGTGTTGCGTTTCAAGACGGGCGTTGGGAGGCAGCTGAGGTCGTGAGTTCCCCGGCGCGAGGATGTCTGGGACCACTCTCCCCTCCCCCATCCGCATGATCTGTCCCCTCCATCCTGATCCCGATGCCCGATGGCCGTGTTTTTGTTCACCCGAGCGAGGGCGGACCTGAAGAGCTCCGTGAGCCCTCGTCGCATAGCCGCGCTATGCCTGAGCCCAGGGGGTGTGGAGGTGGAGACCTGTGCATGCTGCCGGCTGTGGGGAGGATGACGAGGAGTAGGAAGCGGAGGGTTGAGGATGGAGGATGACGGGGTGGTTGGAGGAGGGCGCGGGTGCGCAGGGGAGGCGGATGGTTGAGGATGGAGGCGGATGCGGTAGGAGGGGGGGGGACGGGTGGGGCAAGGAGGAAACCAGGAAGCAGCAGGAGCAGCAGGGAGGCAGATCGGTAGCAGCATGAGGAGGAGAAGGAGTAGGAGGAAGAAGAGGACGAAAAGCCTGCCCCCTGGTGCCAGCAGGAGGAAGAGGACGAGGAGGATGAGCACCAGCAGCATGAACAGGAGGGAGGAGCAGAAGCAGTAGAGATTGGGAGGAGGAGGAGGAGGAGGAGGAGGAGGAGGACGAGGAGGAGGAGGAGGAGGAGGAGGAGGAGGAGGGCGGAGGAGGAGCTGGAGCAGAGAAGGGAGGGCAGGCAGGGAACCGCGTGCCCATCGAGGGGCACCTGGACCCGCCGACGGCTCGTCGAGATCCTGCACCCTGTGGCCGCAACTGACACCACGGCGCAGCTGCGTCGGCGCGCCCCGCACCGAGACAATGAAAACAATGCTTGCCGGCCTGGAAGACCTTTCAAGGCCGCCTGGACTGGGCCCGAGTGCACGGGGACGGAGGATCGCGCCGCATCGCCGATGCATCACCGATGCGACGCGACCTTGTGACCCCTTCTGCTCTGGCACCTTCTCGGCGGCCTGGAGACCGCGCCCCCAGCTCTACTGGCCTACTTCCGCGCTCTCTTCCGTGGCCTTGCCCCAAAGCCGCTGGCGTCGCCACCCGGGTCGCCGTCGCCGTCCGCCTCCTCGTCCTCCCCTTCCGCCGCGACGCCATTCGTCTTCCACCGCATGATCACCTCGTTGTTCCTCTTCGGGTTGGGCCTGAAAACGCCAGGCCACTTCTCGTTCAAAATGGCGATGTTGCGCTTCTCCTCCAGACCCTTCTTGTCCCGGTTGCTGCAGGCACCCCCCGCATTCGAGTAGTGCTTGACACAGAGGGTCATGCGCTGGCACCTGAGCACGCAGCCATAAGCCTTCAAGTGAGAACACGTGAAGTCGTAATCTTCCTTCAGGGTCATCTTCGGGTCGAACTTAACGTCGCCGCCGTCCACGACGAAGAAGTCGCCCAGAATGAAATTCTTGTCAACGAACGGCGCACCTCCGAAGGCTCGGGAGCAGCTCCCCAGGGGACACCACAGGCGCGGTTGGGCCTCCATTGGATTGCTGGTAGATTCCCTGGGGTGCTAAGAGCTTCATGTGGGCCGCAGATCAGCTCAATATATATATATATATGTATATATGTATATATATATATATATATATATAGATGTGTAGACCTACATATATATATATATATACACATGTATATATACACCTAAACAGCCATCCTTCGGGTGATAAGGAGGTTGTGGGGGGGAGAGGGGGGGGAACCAACATCTGACTCAACTGGTCTCACTATCGATCGCACTGAACGGGACACCACGGGACACCATGGGACACCACGGGACACTTGTCGATCTCACTATAGATCTCACACTACGGGACACCACGGGACAACATGAGCACACGGGACACCACGGGACACCGCGGGACACCTCTCGATCTTACTATCTGTCTCACTATCGATCTCACTCAACGGGACAACATAGGACGCTAGGGGACACCACGGGACACCACGGGACACCTCGGGACACAACATCGATCTCAATGTCGATCTCACTATCGATCTCACTCAACGGGACACCACGGGACACCACGGGACACCACAGGACACCGCGGGACACCTCGGGGCACCACATCGATCTCAATATCGATTTCACTCAATGGGACACCACGGGACAACACGGGACACCACGGGCCACCTGTCGATCTCACTATCGATCTCACGATCCATCTCACTCAACGGGACACCACGGGACACCACGGGACACCTCGGGGCACCACATCGATCTCAGTATCGATCTCAGTATCGATCTCAATATCGATCTCACTATCGATCTCACTATCGTTCTCACTCAACGGGGCACCACGGGACACCACGGGACACCACGGGACACCGCAGGACACCGCGAGTCACCGCAGGACGGACGGACGGACGGGGGAAAATCATTTGTCTTGACTCCGCCATAGCAACGGCGGACAACACGGGACACCGCGGGACACCGCTAGGGCCACCGCCGGACGGACGGACAGACGGGGTAGCAACAGTTGTCTTGACATCGCCCCAACAACGGCGGGTTCATTCCTCTCGCGCGCCCACGCTGCTTCGCTTCGCCCGCCCGCACGCACGACACGATCGAAAGTTAACGATTTCCAAGTTGGGGGTCTCCGTTCCACTGCGATCTCACCCACCAACCTCCGAAAGAGAGAGAGAGATCTATTTATTTATATACATATGTACATACATATGTATATATGTATATATAGGCATATCTATATACCTATACGGCCACAAACACCCTTCGGGTGATAAGGAGGTTGGGGTGGGGAGAGCGGGGGAACGAGGGAACCAACATCTGACTCAATCGATCTCTCTATCGATCTCACTCAACGGGACACCACGGGACACCATGGGACACCACGGGACACTCGTCGATCTCACTATCGATCTCACTATCGATCTCATTCAACGGGACACCACGCGACACCACGGGCCACCACGGGACACCACGAGACACCGCGGGACACCTCTCGATCTCACTATCGGTCTCACTATCGATCTCACTATCGATCTCACTCACTGGGACACCACGGGCCACCTGTCGACCTCACTATCGATCTCACTATCAATCTCACTCAACGGGACACCACGGGACACCACGGGACACCTCGGGGCACCAAATCGATCTCAGTATCGATCTCCCTATTGATGTCACTCGACGGGACACCACGGGCCACCACAAAACACCGCGGGACACCGGCGGGACACCGCGGGGCACCGGCCGCCGAAGGAGTTACATTTGGTCCGGCCGCGGCCCAGCAACGGGAGGATTTCGGAACACCCGCGGGACACCGGCGGGACACCGCGGTGGCACCGGCCGCCGGAGGAGTTACATTAGGTCTGGCCGCGGCCCAGCCATAGGAGGATTTCCTCTTGCCCGCCCACGCAGCCTCGCCTCGCCCGCAGGCACGCATGGCACGCACGACACGAACCCGCAACCGAAATCGATTTCCTGGTAGGGGGGGTCTCCGTTTCGTCGGACTGCCCCCCAATCTCCGATGTATATATATATATATATATATATACATCTATATATATATATATATATGTATATATATATATATATATATAGATTATCATACGCGCCTCTCCGAGGGAGTAAAGCTTTGAGGCGATTAATGCGTACGCGCCGCGTCGTTCGCGTTTTTTCTGGCCATTTCGCTAGCGACATCCTCGAAATTCTCAAAATCGGTGGCACCCCTCACACAGATCGTGACGTCAGGGTCCAAAAACACATGGGAATTTCAATATTTTAACATATTGGACATTCAATGATTTTGACCCCGATTCTCAGAGAATGGTGGTTTCGCCTGAGACATCCTCCCAAAATCGAGCCCCGACGTACCTTCTGGTACCGCAGACCCCGCCTCGGAGCCTCCTGGGAGCCTCCTGGAAGATCCTGGGGCCTCCTGGGGCTTTCTGTACCTTCTGGTACCCCAGACCCCGCCTCGGAGCCTCCTGGAGGTCTCCTGGAACCTCCTGGGGCCTCCTGGGGCCTCCTGCGGTCTCCTGGCGCCTCTTGGGGCCTCCTGGAGCCTCCTGGGGCCTCCTGGGGCCTCCTGAGGCCGCCTGGGGCCTCCTGGGTCCTCAGAACTACATGTACACACAGAGACACAAATCACACCGAACACATCACACGCTAGACAAACATAACACACACAACAACAACAACAACAACAACAACAACAACAACAACAACAACAACAACAATCATTTTACCCGAACGCGTGGTGTTCTCCCCAGTGCCAGGGTTTTCATACGACACCAGGCAATACCCCCACTTCGTGGGGGGGCATTACAAGCTCTACCAAATATCCAAACGACTCTTCGCGACCACCCAAACCCAGCTTCCCGCCCTATGACGTTGGGATACTTCACTTCGTGGCGTGCGGACGACAGTGGCTACTACACTGGCGTGGGGTACACACCCACAGAACTTGGTCACTTATTCGGGGCGCGCATGTGCCCAGCATGGTGCAATTGTGCCATACAATACATAATACAGAGAGACGAATGTGTCCCGCATGGTATTATTTGACAGGGATGATGGCCCTGGCAGGTGCGCAACCGTTGTCGCAGAAGTTCGAAAAAGTTGCTCGCAAAAGCCCGTTTGACAGAAATGTTTAAAAAGTGTTGGGTTTCCTACGAATCCGCAAGAGCGCGCGGGATGAGATTTTGACATTTTTTTGTTGAAAAACCATTGGTTTTTTGATGTTTTTATGTTAAAATCGCTGCGAACACTAAGCTTTTGGAAGGATTTCGTCTTGCGCGCGCGAATGTCCACTTTACCTTATTTTTTGCAAGGGATTCTTGAAATTTGATTATATTAGAACAAGAAATGTCATTTTATAGTGTTTTTTGCAAGGGAAAACGGATTACAACAAAACAACCGGATCTTGATCACCTCGAATTACCTGAGGCTTCCTCACGAAAATGATGAAAACGTGGCTGCGGCCTAGGCGCGGCGGGGGGGGCGCGCACCAGGGGGCCCAACAATAATTATTCTTTAGAATTAATAATGTTCAACAACAACAACAACAACAACAACAACAACAACAACAACAACAACAACAACAACAACACCAACAACAACACCTACAACGCACAGAAAACACGCACAACACAGAGCACCATCACACACACACACACAACACTCACAATCCTGAGGCCTCCTGGAGCCTCTTCCCGTATCCAAGTCGGGCCTCCTGAGGCTTCCTGGGGGGCCCTGGTACACACATCGCAAGGTGTGGCAACCCCACTTGCGCTCGAGTGCGACCTGGCTATTGCATGTCACTCCCAGCAGCTATCCTCCTCCTCTTCTCCTGCTTCAAACGCCCTTTTCAGTTTTTTGTATGAGCCTGGGCATACACGTGCCACTTGTATATATGTGCGTGCGTGTGTCGCACACGTACGGGTAAAGTGCCTACGTGCCAAAACGGAATTCGACATGACGGCTTGCCCGCTTCGCAGACGAAACAAGCATTCGCTGTGCCGTCCGATCATCATGAATCGCAGCCACTTCCGCTCAAGGAGGGCCCAGGACAAGCTGATACCGACTTGCATGACAACTTCAACAACTCGTTTACAGAACGAGTAGAACGCACGCTATCTCAAATGTTGCATCGTCGACCGCTGGACAACGCGTGACGCATAACATATTCGCGAAAAACTTGATTGCCTCATACGGCGTTTATCCGCAACCGTGCGGCGAGGCACCGAGTGGAGTGCTATCAGACCCCATTCGAGCTCTCAATGCTGATCACTGCCAATGGTGTTCGATGGCACACGTGGCTAAGACCACTGAGACGCCGAAACTGTTCGGGATGCCCACATACTTGGCTCATGGGCCTTCACAGTCCAAGACGGCCGAAGAGGCCCCCAAGACTCGTCCAAGAGTGCCTCGGAGGCCTCCGAGCGGGGCCCAGGAGACTCCCAAGAGGGAGAACTCGAACTGCCACATGGAGCCCTCCACCCCAGGGATCGCTCCCGAGAGAGCCAGCAGGCTCCAGGGAGGTCCGGGAGGGCCCCTACGAGGCCCCAGAGAGACCTCCCAGAGGCCCCCAGGAGGCCTCCAAGAGGCATCCGAGAGGCTCCTTGTCCACGACCCAGGCGGCAAGATGGGCCGACGGCCCAGAGATCCGGCGCCCCTATTGCAAAAAGTTACTTTGCGCGCCAAGGTTGCACGTGAACCCTTCCAGTAACCCAACCCGCAGGCCACCCAGGCGACGCATCTCCCAACGCTTGTTCCGCCCAACCCTTTCTGACCTAGATGGCCCAAGATGGCCTCGTAGACGCCTCCAAGACGGCCAGTGGCCCCAAGAGGGCCCAAGTCTTCACGACGGCCCAAGGTGGCTTCGAGACGGCCGACGGCCAGCAGGGCCAGACTAGGCTAACATCCTTGATTGCTTTAGCTGTTCGAAGCATGCTAGCCAGCGTGGACCCAAAACATGCGTTATTGCACGGTGGAGGTAAGAGCCGTGCGTTGTAAGCAGTGTGGTGAAAGCTATGTCCTATAAACCCTCGTGAGCAAGCTACGGAGGCACGTGGCGTAAGTCGTGCAAGCTTCGCGGGGTGACCCCGAGGTGGAGGCTGTGGGTGATTGCTGTGCGATGCAGGCCGTGCTGCAGGCTGTGCGGTGGAAACTATGTGTCGCAAGCTACGCGGTGAAAATCATGCGGTGAAAGCCACACGGTCCAAACTCGCGAGGCGCCCGCGAGGCGGCAGCGAGGCGGCACCGTGACGCAGCCTCGACACGCACGCCCGATCGAGCGCGGGTGGCGCACCGGAGGCGCCCGCGAGGCAGCACGGGCGGCACCGTGGCGCAAGCTCGACGTACCCCCCAAAGCGCGGGGCGCCCACGAGGCGCCCGCGGGCGGCAACGTGGCGCAACCTCGACGTGCCCCCCAAAGCGCGGGGCGCCCACGAGGCGCCCACAGCCCGCGACGCTGCGAAGAACCCGACGTGCCCCCCAAAGCGCGGGGCGCCCACGAGGCGCCCACAAGCCGCCGACGTTGCGGAGAACCCGACGTGCCCCACCCGGCTCCTTGCGAACGCCGCGTTGACAAACAGCATGCAGGCACACTGCGTGGGGAACGTGTGTGCGTTCCCGCCATTTTTTTCTGGCTCCCGAGCGCCGAAGCTGGAGCAGGGACCTCCAAGACAGCCCCCAAAGACGGCCCAGGAATGAAGGGGCCCTGGGACACACAAATAAATACACACAAATAATAGGATTACCCATCTTTTCCCATATTTTCTGGGCTTTTGCCTTCCCCCCCACTTCCCATATTTTCCAATATTTTCTGGGCAATCGACGATTAATTGTGTCTGTGTGTTTTTTTCCCACCTGAGAAATGGTCCTGCACGGGTTTCCACAGCGGTTGGGGGAACACCTCGTCCGAGACCTGGGTGGAACGTTGGCCCGACGTTCAGCCACGCAGGCGCTTTCGAAGGCAGGGGGGCGGTCGGCGGTGGTTCGCCGCAGGCGTCTTCCATCTGCCGCCCCCGTGGCCGTGCCCCGTGCAACAAAAAAAAGGGGCTCCGAGAGGGCCACCCAGGCCGCCAAGACGGCCCCGGATGGCCTCCAGCACCATCGGACTTGATGGGACGGGACATGCGAGAGAGGACACGAGGCCCTTCCGAGGGCCACGCTGCCACAGGAACGTGGGAGGCACGGGTTGCGAGACGCAGGACGCGAGGGCACCCTGGACTTGGCAGGGTCGACCTACCAATCGGGGCCGACTGTATGGTCCCAAGGCGACTCCAATAGAGGCCTCCCAGATGGGGTCGAAAGATCGCGCCGCATCGCCGATACATCGGCGATGCATCGGCGATGCATCGGCGATGTATCGGCGACGTATCAGCGATGCATCGGCGATGCACCGGCGATGTATCGCCGACGTGGATGATGCATCGGCGACGTCGACGTGAAGCAAATCGGGCTCCGCATCGAGGCGCATCGGCGATGGATCGTCGATGCGGCGCGATCCTCCGGCCCCATCTGCTCCGACCCCTTCTGGGAGGCCTAGATCCAAGAGGGCCAGGATGGCCAAGACTGCCCCAGAATGTCCCAGATGGTCCCTGGCCATCGCTCGGACGTCCATTCCCTGCGTTTTTTCGGCTTCGTGCGTGGTTTTTGTCGCCGAATGATCAAGGATGCTCCTCGATGGCCCTCGCCGAGAAAAAATGCACGCGTCCGAGCGATGCCAAGTAGATCCAAGAGGGCCAATATGACCAAGACTGCCCCAAAATGTCCCAGATGGTCCGCAGTGCGGCCAAGAGGGCCCCAGGACGGCCAAGAGGGCCCCAAGAGGGGAGGGGGAAGGTCTGGCTCCGGGAACCTCTGCTACGTGCGACCGTTTGCAGCAGTACGCCCCCGGTCAATATTAAGAAAACCATGAGATAAGAAATTTGGGGGGGCTGAACTGGGGAGCGGACTCAAAAAGCCTCCGCGGCGGTTTTGGAAGGGCGCCTACGATTTAAGAACTTGGCCCGTAAGAAAGTGGCAGCCCCTGGCGCGCTGAACATGGCCGCGGCATAAGAAATCCGCAGGGGCTGAAATGAAAAACCAACTTTCTTATTGAGCGCCGTGGGTGTACGTCCCATAGGGGAGACTCCACCTGCTCGAAACAGGCGCCAAAAACGGCCAAGATCTACTCCGTGGGGGGGGTGAGTGTGACGGGTGCGAGGCCCCGCGCCGATGGGCAAAACAGTGCGTAAGAAGACTACCACCTGGTGCTCCTTGCGTGTTCGAGAGATTTTCGCGGTCTCGCCTCCGACAGCCCAAGGGGGCCTCAGAGGCCCACAAAAACCCCAAGAAGACCCAAGATGGCCCCACCACTTAAATAAGCCAAGAGAACCCCAAGACGGCCGACCAATACGGGTCCAAGAAGGCCTCCCGAGAGGTCACAGGACACCTCACGGGACGGCCTCTGAAGGCGCCCGACGGGCGAAGGGTCTCACAGACAGCTCAAGAGGCCCCTCGAAGCCACCATTAGACCACACGCCGCCCCCAGGAAGCGCCCAGGATACTCCAAGAGGGCCCCAAGAGGCCTCCTCGTCCTCACTATCCAAACTCTCCTCCCCCTCTCCCTCGAGGGGGAAGGGAGGTTGGCGAAGGGGGCCGTAAGACTGCCCAAGAGGCCCCCAAGATGCCCCCAGCCCCCCAACAGGTCCCGCAGAAGCCCCCAAGAGACCCGCCCCCAGGATGCCCCAAGAGGGCTCCAAGAGGCCTCCTCGTCCTCACTGCCCAAACTCTCTTTCCCCTCTCTCTCTCTTCCTTCCCCACCTGCTCCGCCCAGTGCTTCCATCAACGTTGGGCCGCAGAGGCCTTTCCCAGGGGCGGGAGGCGGCGGCGGTTCGCCGCGGGCGCCCTCGACAACGGTGTGAGAGCAAAAGAGGCCACCAATCCAATGGACACTCACAACCACCCTGTGGGGCTAGACGCCGCCCAGCCGCGCACGCTGGGCGCCACTGCGCATCTTGGCCAGCATGAACCGCGCCGCCGCCACGGGCGAGCAGACGATGCGGCGGGCCGCCGAGTGGGCGGCGTTGCAGGCGTCGTCGGTGCGCACCTTGGCCTGCGGGCCGTCCATGTACACCCAGCCGCTGATGTCGTCGGAGAGCTGCACGCACACCTTTCCGAGCCGCTTCGCGTCCTGCAGGGCCCTGTTCCTCGACTCCGTGAGCTTCCCGCCGACCTTCACGCGGAAGCCGAGGGCGCGGTAGTCCTTCGCGCTCTCCGCGTCCACGTACCAGGTGGGGTCCACGCCCGCCTCCTGCAGCTGCCTCTGCACCACGAAGACGTCCCCGAGGCCCGGGAACGACGAGGCGCGGCGTGCGGAGACGACGCAGAAGTGCAGCTCGGACTTGTCCGGCAGGGCCCTCCTCTCCTTCGCCGACAGGAGCCTGAACAGCGACGAGTCCTTGTCAACGCCCTCGACCTCCTGACCCTCTCGCAGCTCCTCGCGCATCAGCCTCAGCGCCTGCATGGCCTGCGCCTTGGCCAGCTGGATCTGCCCGTTCTTGCCCGCCTCGGGGGTGAACTTCTTCGTCCAGCCCATCTTGGCAGAGTGCTCCTCCGACAGGTGCTTGTGGAAGAAGTTCTTGCCGTCGGGCGCGACGAAGCAGGTCAGGACGCCCCTGGACCCGTGGTCCTTCTCGGCCCTCCTGGCCGCGGCCCCCATGTGGGTGATCTTCACCCCCTGGCCCCACTCGTCGGGGAGCCAGTGAGCCCTCGACAGGTCCACGTGGATCTTGTCGCCGCTGTTGGTCACCCAGTCTTCTGGGGCGACGGAGCCCTTCAGCCGCTTCACCGGGTAGCCGGCCCTCTCCCTGTTGGGCACCGACCGGAACGTCTTCCGTGCGCCCTTCGAGGCGAACTTGCGGTCGGCCGCGATGTCGGGGCGGCCGGACTCGGCTTTCAGGCTCGCCACGAACGCGCTGCGCAGCGTGCCCTTCCTGATCCTCTGCTTCGTCTGGCTGCTGTGAGTCGCCTTGGCTTTCTTCACCGTCTTGACCATGGACTCGGCCGCCGCGCCCGTGCGCAGCGGACCCGGTGCGCGACGAGCGAGCGCGTCGTTGCTTATACTCGAGCCCAGGCGAGGCGGAGAAGGAGCAGGGTGACAAGGGACAGGCCCTGACATCCGGCGTTTCGATTTTTTCGAGACACGGGCCCCCGACCTCTCGAGCACTTCCCCGGGACCGGTTTTTCATCCCGAGTCGTTTTTTGACGGTCCCGAGGCCCAGCGAGGGCCTCGAGAGCCCGAAAATGACAAAAAACCTTTGTCTCGATTTTTTCGAGACGCCCGATGTCTGGGGGAGGCGGATGCAGGAGGGGCGCTTACTCTAGCCGCGGCCCTGGGAGGAGATGGGGCCGACACAGGGCGAAGCCTCCAGAGCTCTACACCTCGTCTGTCTGGCGGACGTGGCCGAAGCTCGGGCCCCGACCTCGGACACAGAGCGGCCGGACACGAAGGAGGCGGAGGAGGAGGAGGAGGAGGAGGAAACGGGCGAGCTCCAATGGAAACGGGTCAAAACTCAAAGTGTAGGGGCCAACAGAGAGAGAGAGAGGAGGAGGAGGAGGAGGAGGAGGAGGAGGAGGAGGAGGAGGAGGAGGAGGACATGGGCGAGCTCCAGTGGGGGCGGGTCTGAACGCAAAAGTGTAGGGGCCATCAGAGAGAGAGAGAGAGAAAGAGAGCATGTGCTGTCCCAGTGATCTGAATTCTGCGCCCGGTGTGACCATGCGCGCACGCGGAGTGTGAGCGGCTGGTCAGCGGGGCGCCCCCAGCCGCCTCCTTGCGAGGTTTTGTCTTCGGTTGGGGGGGGGGGCGGTGTACGTACTTTGGGGAGCGCTTTACGTGCTTCTCTGTTCTTGGCGATGAGGAAGCCTCCAAGGACCTCTGGGAACTTCCAGGGAGTAGGACCTGGGGCGGACGCAAAACGCGGAGTAAGGCCCACCAGACCAGCCGCGCGAATCGATGTTCGTAACCTCCCCTTGCCCGAATCTCCATTCCCCGTCCGATCCAAAAAAAGGAGGTTGGAGCGTCTCGGGGGACGTCTTCGATGGCCACCCACTGCGGCGGCCTGCGGCGCGCTTTGCGGGCAATGGACAAGTCGACGGCTTCTAGGGAGGCTCTGGCCAGGCGTTGGGCTGCTGAGAAGGGGGTCTGGTGGGCCTTACTTGTTTGGTGAGCGAGCCTATACTGATGGAGCCACATCGCAACATATCTGAGGGCTTCGAGTGAGGGAAGGACTAAGCCAAGAGCCATCAGGGGGTTCAGAAAGAGGGGCAGGGAGATCTGACTTTCGTTGGTTGCGCACTAGCACACATATGGGTCATGGAGGAGCAGTGGCAAACATATCGCCGACCCGACGGGAAGAGGAGTAGGGAGGAGGAGGAGGAGGAGGAGGAGGAGGAGGAGGAGGAGGAGGAGGAGGAGGAGGAGGAGGAGCAGGAGGAGGAGGAGGAGGAGGAGGAGGAGGAGGAAGGAACCAACCCGCCTTCACGCGCGGGCACATCGTGTACCGCCTCTGCCCGGGCTCGAACGACATGTGCTCGTCGACGAACGCGGCAATGTCTATGGCGTCCGAGCCGCCCCACCTCTGGACGCTCGGAGCGAAAGGAAGACCAGACTCTGACTGAGCAGACTGAGCCGGCGCGGGCGGTGACAGGCTGCCGACACACCCGCAGAATGCAACAACAGAATCGCCATGGCCAAGACCCCCTGCATGCTTGAAGGAAGAACATATTTCGGGGGCGTCCAAGAAGGGGGGGCGTCCAAGAGTGGGGGCGCAGATCATGGCCGGCGGCACGTGCGCGGCCCAGGAGGGGGCCGGGGACGCACTGTAATGAGAAGAGGCGCCCTGAACTCTGGGGAGCCATCATGGCCTCCGCCATGATATCCCACCTCCCCCTAGTCATCACCCCCTCTTGGCCGCCCCCGAAACGCCGGCGGCCCGAGAAGAACCCGCGCGGACCTCCAAAGGTTTGTATGCTTATGCAGCTTTGAAGACGCCCAGGAACACACAAGCAGATACACACACAAATCCCAGAAGTCCCCCTGTGTTCCCAGATCTTCTTGATCTTCGGCTTCCCCCCCATTCCCATAGTTCCCCATGCTCTCATGGAAACCGACGTTCAATTGTGCTCGCTTCTTCCCCTCCTGAAGTTTTGTGGATGCAACGACAATGGACACCCTAAGAGTCCTACCATCGAATCAAACATGTGTTTAAAATGTCGGGGAAATGCCCTGGAAATGTTTAACACATGCTTTTACATGCTAAAACAGTTTGAACACATGTTCTAGGCATCTGGAACTTCTTTGGCAACACGCTTCCTCTCCATTGATCTGAAGGGGCCCCAGGACACACAAATGAATACACACAAATAAACGTGTTCCCGATATGTTCCTACATGTTCTGGGCTGTGTCTTCCCCAGCACTCCCATAGTTTCCCATCTTCTCCTGGGACTCGGCGATGAATTGTGTCTGTGTGTTTCTTTCCCTCCAGATGATCGCCCTCCACAGCTGAAGCTTCTCTCCTCCGACTCCCGCCGCAGCCGTGGGGGCGCCGCGGGCAGCCCCTGACTACCTACCATACCACCCCAACCCAACCCGAAGACCCGAATTTCGGGTTGGGGGGGGGTATGGGCTCCATATGTGTTTTTTCGATGTTCCTGGACCCCCCCACACTAGAAATCGAGGGTAAATCTGAGCCTTCGGGTTGGGTTGGGGTGGTTTGGTGGGTGGTGAGACCCCGCGGGCGCGCCCGCACACGGAGACGCCCGAAGCACCTTCGCTGCCCTCGGCAGCGCCGGCGGTCGCGGGCGCGGGGGTCGGTGCCGGCGAAGCTCGCCGGGCGCGGAGCGCGAGAGGCGAGTGGGCAAGAGGAGGGAGGGGGGAGGAGGGGGAGGAGGAGGAGGACAAGCTAGGTGCGCTCGCGTCATATCTGACGTCCTACCCCTCCCTCCCATCCCTTACCATGGCGCTGATTTTCTCTATCCGCGGACGCGTGTCGTAGCGGACCTGCGGCTCTGCGCGCGCGTGCGTAGTGGGTGGTGGTGCACGTGCGTGCGTGCGTGCGTGTGTGCGTGGTTGTCGTGGTGGTGGTGGTGGTGGTGGTGGTGGTGGTGGTGGTGGTGGTGGTGGTGGTGGTGGTGGTGGTGGTGGTGGTGGTGGTGGTGGTGGTGGTGGTGGTGGTGGTGGTGGTGGTGGTGGTGGTGGTGGTGGGTGGTGGTGGTGGTGGTGGTGGTGGTGGTGGTGGCTGGTGGTGGTGGTGGTGGTGGTGGTGGTGGTGTGTGGTGGTGTGTGGTGGTGGTGGTGGTGGTGGTGGTGGTGGTGGTGGTGGTGGTGGTGGTGGTGGTGGTGGTGGTGGCGGTGCGGCGCGGTGGTGGCGGGCGGATGGGCGCGCGAGAAAAGGCCCGCGCTGGGGCGAGAACGCCATCCTGAACGACGGAGGCCAAACACCGATCCGAAAATGAGGCCCACGCTGCAGCGGGAGCACGATTCGGAACGGTTCGGGAGCAGAAATGAGGCCGGCGCCTCAACGAGAGCAGCATTTTGGGACAAAAATGACGCAGGCGCCTCAGCGAGAGTCGTTTCCCGGGATTTGCCGGGCATCCTGTGTGTAAAAAAACAGTACGCGGAGGGTGCGCGGCCATCACCCGGACGCCATCAGGGGAAGAGGGAGAGTATTTTCATATTGAGTAATTGTGGAGGAGAAGGAGGAGGAGGAGGAGGAGGAGGAGCAGGAGCAGGAGCAGGAGCAGGAGGAGGAGGGGGAGTCGATGGGAGACCCGCGCGTCGAGGGTCGGCGGGGCGCGCAGGCGGCCTCGGGCACCGAGGACGACCGCCAGAGGCGCACGCTGCTCCGCGGTGTTCGTGCCCTGGCCCAGCGCCGCAGGGAGGAGGAGGAGGAGGAGGAGGAGGAGGAGGAGGAGAAGGAGGGGGAGGAGGAGGAGGAGGAGGAGGAGGAGAGGAGGAGGAGGAGGAGGAGGAGGAGGAGAGGAGGAGAGAGGACGAGCAGAGAGGAGGAGGATGAGGGAGGAGGAGGAGGAGGAGGAGGAGGAGGAGGAGGAGGAGGAGGGAGGGGGAGGAGAAGAGGAGAAGAGGAGAAGAGGAGGAGGAGGAGGAGGAGAAGAGGAGGCTCCCCCTTCCCGGGGTGGTGCACACCATGGGGGTCGGTGACCCCCCGCGCCACTTCGATCGGAGGCCCCTCCCGGGGGGGGGAGGGGGGGGCCTCCTTCGTGGCTTTTTTTTGCCGTGCTTTCCGCCCCCCCCCCCCCCCGGCGGCACCGAGGGGAGCCGCGAGGAGCCGGCCCGTCTCTCTCCGACGATCTGCGATGGGGCCCCCGCGGTGGGAGGCGACCCGCGCTCCTGGGCGCGGTGTGGCACCGCCCGGAAGCGCCGAGGTGGAGCGCCGGGATGTTGAAACCATGGCGCCAGAGGTCCCAGGCCCCCGAGGTCATGACTGGTTCCTGGCGTGGGCCCCCACAGGGAGGTCAGGACCCCTTCCCGCGGAGCGGCTTCTCATCCTGAGTCGTGGTCTGACGGTCCCGAGGCCGGGCAAGGACGACCCTGGAGGGCAAACGACTCGCAAGAGCCTGCCGTCGTGATTTTTTTTCACGGCGCGATGTGCTCAGGGGGTCGCCGATGCATGGGCCTCGTCGGCGGTGCATCGGCGACCCCAGCGCGGAGAAAATCGGGCACCACATTGAGCCGCACAGGCGGTACATCGGCGATGCGGCGCCATCCTCCGACCCCCCGTGCTGGGACCCCACCTGGGAGGCCCGAGAGATGCCGGGAACGGCGAGAAGGCCTGGCACGGCCTGGCTCGAGAAGCGCATCGCTTCGACGGCTGCTGGGGCGCCCGAGGCCGAGCTGGGGGGGGCCTCAGGTCGGGCTGGGGGTGTGCTCGGCTGGCCATCGCTCGGACGTCCATTCCCTGTGTTTTTTTCGGTTTCGTGCGTGGCTTTTTCGCCAAATGATCAAGGATGCTCCTCGATGGTCCTCGTCGAAGGAAACATGCACACGTCCGAGCGATGCCAAGTCGGTCTAGCCAAGCAAACCATGCCCACCGAACCTTCCCGGCAGCCTCCGGCGGAGATGTGGGGCCGCTGCGGCGGCGCGGCCCGACGGCCGACTGCCGGGGCCGCCGGGGGGCGACGACCCATGGCGCCGCCGCCGGCGCAGCGGCGCGGTCCCCGGGCGGCGGAGGCGGGCGCCGAGGGGCGCGGGAAGGGCGAAGGGCCGGCGGTTCAGAGGCGGGGCCCCGAGGGATGGGGGCCCATCGGGACAGGGAGGGATCCACGGGTGGGCTTGCGCGGGCGGCGACGAGAGGCGGCTCTCACGCGAGATGGCCCGGCGGCCTCGCGCGGTGGCTCGCGCGGGCCGCCACCGTGGCACACCGCGTGGAGGAGGGGGCGCCGACGCGCGGCCCTTCGGGCGGGAGGCGCACGCGCGAGAGCGTCGGCGCAGGCGACCCCGCCGTTCTCATCCGTCGCCCGCACGGTCTGAGGCACCTCGCCCCGAGGGCCCCACCTCGGCTGCACCCTGGGTAAAGAGTGCCCTGTGGGTGCGCGGTTCTCTGAGGGGGCCGCGGGGGGGCCACGCACCAGCGCGCAAGACGCTGACCATCGCACCGCGCTCGTCGATCGGGAGGCCCCAGTGGGCGCGCACCAAGGGTCGCTCGGGCGAGGGCTCACTCCTACAGAGGCCTCCTAGATGGAGTCCGAGTAGATGGGGTCAGAGGATCTCGCCGCATCGCCGAAGCATCGGCGATGTATCGGTCACGCACTGGCGACGTCTGCGATGCATCGGCGACGTTGGCGTGGAGAAAATTGGGCCCCACATCGAGCTGCATCGGCGATGCATCGGCGATGAATCGGCGATGCGGCACGATCCTCCGACCCCATCTACTCCGACCCCAGCTAGGAGACATAGATCCTAGGTGCAACCGTCCCTCAGGACCCTTCGGTGGCAACTCATGGGAGCCTCCCATACCATCTTGTCGGCTCTTGCGAATCGACGCTAATCGACGCTAGTCGACGCTGATAGACGCTAGATCCACGCTAATCGGCGCTGACCGACGCTACAGCGGCGCTGTTATATCGACTCCCAAACGCCAGTCGACGCCAAAGACGGAATTGCGAGGGTGCTCCGAGTCTCTGAATAAGCGCCAGAGGGCATCACCCCCGCCGACAGCCCCACATCGACCCCCGTCGCGTGCAGCCAACGCGCGCCGAAGGCGCTCCGACCCTTGTCGCGGCGCGACGACGAGGCGAGGTTGACCCCCGTCGGGGGGATACCCCCCACGCTTATCACGAGACCCAGAATACACAAGGCTCCCATGATTTGCTACCCGAGCCGACCATCCCTCGGGACCCCATCTTGGAACCAACGAGCGGTTGCGGGCCGCCTCGGCGCGGGGCGGCGGACGGCAGCTTTCTGCCCGCCCCTCGCGGCGCCGCGGGCTCTGCGAGGCCGGCGAGGCGGGCTCTCCGGGCAGCAGCGGGGCTCGGCTCCGGAGCGGCGAACGCACCCGTCTCCGCGGCCTCGCGGTCTGCTCGGCGGCGAGCGCGCGGGGGGGGAAGCGAGCAGGGGCGAGCACTTCTCAGAGGGCCCGGCCTTCTGAGACGTGCCCTACAAGCCTTCCCCGAAGGCGCCGGGAGCCTCTCAGAGGGCGCGGGGGCTTCTGAGAGGCCCCGCCGCCTCCCGAGACAGCCTTCTCCTTCTCACTTCCCCCCCCCCTCTTGGGTGTCCCAAAACCGTGTGGTGACAGACCCGGCGGTGACCTCGAAATCCGCAAAGACCTCACCGCACGGTCCGTCACCACACGGTTTTGGGACCCTGGAGGCTCCAGTCGCCCGAGACATCCTCGGAGAACGACCCAAGTCCCAAAACCGTGCGGTGACCCCGAATCCCCACCGACTCACCACGCGGTGTGGTCACCACCCCGTTTGGGAGCCCCCGACCCTCGCTCGCCGCCGATATCCGGAGATCCCGGGGCGCGGCCCCGCGGAGGATGCGCAGAGTCGCACGCGGCCGCGCTCTCCGCGCGGGGCCTCTCCGCGCAGAGGCGCCCCGCATATCCGCAGGGTAAGCAGCCCCGGGGCCCCGGCACGCGAGGCCGTGGCTGCGGGGTATGTCTCCGTGGCCGTTCCCCCCTTTCCAGGGCAACGGTCGTTACTGAAGGGGCCCTGGGACACACAAATAGGTACACACAAATAAAACAGATTTCCTATATATATGTATTCATATATGGTCTGGGTTTTTGTCTTCCCCCCCACTTCCCATATGTTCCCCTCTTTTCTGGGACATCGACGATTAATTGTGTCTGGGTGCTTCTTTCCCTCCTGAGTTACGCGGGGGGAGGGGAGGGTTCGGGCAGGAAGGTCACGGCAACGGCGGCCGCGGCGCGACCCCGCCAGGAGCCCGCGTCTTTTTTACTCGCGGCGATCACAGGCGCCATGGGGGGGCAAAGCGTAGCGGCCCCCCAGCCCGGCAGTCCGTGTGGCTCCGGCACCACCGCAGCGTCCGCGCGCACGACGACGACGGGTCACGAGCGACGAGCGACGACGGCGACGACGGAGACGACGACGATGACGACGAAGACGACAACGACGACGACGACGACGACGACGACGACGACGACGACGACGATGACGAACACCGACGACAACAACGACGACGACGACGACGACGATCACGATGACAACGACGACGACGAGCGACGACGACGACGACGACCGCGACGGCGACGACGAGCGACGCCTCTGGAGTTCTCTGGAGGTCTCCAGAGGTCTCTGGAGGTCTCCCGAAGCTTCCAGAAGGCCGCCAGAGGCTCTTCGGAGGTCCTCCAAAGGCCTCCGGAGGCCCTCGAAGGCCTTCGACGGCGTTCTACGACGACGAGAGACGGCGAGCGCCGACGACAGCGACGACGACGACGACGACAATGACGACGACGATGAATAGTGACGATTGCAAGAGACGAGTTGTGGCGAGCACATGCCTGCAAAGGCATCGCTGCCTCCACGTGGCATTTAAGAGGCATGCTCCTTCCCTCCCTATTCCTTCCTCGTCGTCGTCCTTTTCCTCCGATTGCTCCTTCTCTTACGAACGCCACCAATGCCAAAGAGTACGGCAACTTGCCCGCGACCGCCGCGGATCCCTATCCGGATCCCTCCTGGGATCTCTATTTGGATCCCTGTGCGGATCCCTATGGGGATGCCCATGCGGACACCTATGCGGATCCCTATTGGGATCCCTATGCGGACCCCTATGCGGCTTCCTGAGGAGATCCCTCTGCGGATCCGTATGCGGATCCCTATGCGAATTGCCATGCGGATCCGTATGCGAATCCGTATGCGGATCCATATGCGGACTTCTATGCGGATCCCCATGCAGATTCGTATGCGGATTTCTATACGGACCCCTATGCGGATCCTCATTGGAATCCCAATGAGGATCCCTGCGCAAATCCCTTTGCGGATCCCGAGGGATATCCCCATGCGATCCACGTGCGGGCGGATCCCTATGCGGACTTCTGTGTGGATGCCCGTGCGGATCCCCATCCGGCTGGCTCCCTGTGCGGATCTCCCTGTGTGGACGGCTGCAGTGCCGGGGGTGCACTGGGGGGGGGTGTTACGTCATGGGGGGGGGCTGGGGGCCACAACGCGCGTTATGGCCCAGGCGATCAAGAGAAACGCTCCAGGGTGCGTCCGCGCCACCAGCGCATCCATAGCCTGTGTGCGCCAAAGCATGTAGGGGGGGGGGGTCAGGCCAGCCCCCCAGCACGGCCGTGAGCGTGACCCGCGGAGGGGGGGGGGGGCCCGGGCAACGAGCGTCCGTTACCCTGGGGAGGGAAACAAAAACAGCACGCTCACTTTCGCCCAGCGCCCACGCCATCAGGCCCAGCGCTCGGCGCCCGTGCCGAAGCGCAGGCGGCAGCGCATCAGCCGGGCCCACTCGCTCGGCGGCCAGTTGGCCACGATGTCCCTGCTGACCTCGCGGGGGGAGATCATGTCACTGTCCGCATCCGCGGCCTCGCCGGCCAAGCCCCTGGGTCGCGACCCCGCGCGGAACGCATCCGTGCGACCGCGCAGCAGCGGGATCGCGCCCCAGAGCACAGACCATGAGTGCGCGGATATGGATATGCAGGGAGCGCGGAGCGGTATGAAATAGACCGTTCCGCTACGGGGGGCTGCCCCAGCAGGGCAGCCGGGAAGTCTACCCATGGCACTGACGGTGGCAGGTGGGGGTACAAACATCACCGCCGCCCTGGAACAGGCGTCCCCCATCGAGGAACAATTTATGTTATACCGCTCTTCGCCCGCTGAGATAGCTTCGCCTTGGAGGCGACCAGGAGTTCTGAACTGGATGGGGCCCCAGAACATCGATCAAGAGTGGGGGGCGAAATTAGTCCCCAGACCCCTCCCAGGGTCCACCTAGTGCAATTTGTCCACACTGGATCCCGCGTTTGATGGCCCTGGGACCCGAAAACGGCACCTGGAGACCGAGAAAGGCACATAACCTCGTCGAACCCAGCACCTCGAACCTGCCGCCAGTGCCGGGCACCAGTGCCAGGCAAGCTCAGACCCCCAGCCAGCTCCACTGTCCGCCTCCATGGCATATCTGGGAACTTTTGACACAGCGAGGAGCCACACAGAAACTAGACTGATGCGTGGCTCGTCTGGGAACGTTTGAAACAGCGAGGCGCCACACAGAAAACATAACATCTCAGCTGTGTGTGGCTCCTCGCTGCCGCGCTCGCCGCTCGCACCTCGCAGGCCTCGCCGTCCACGTCCACGAAGCTCGGTGGTTCAGAGATGGGGCCCTGGGGGACGGGGACCCGAGGACGGGGAAAGCACCAAGAGTGGACTCACATTGCTGGAAACACCTCGCCCTTAAGACCCCATCCTGGGCGCCCGAATTTTCCGGCTGCGGTCCAAAGGTAGCTCTGGCTTTGGCCCCCCGAGGCACGAATCCGTAACTACCCCTGACTGCCTCCTGCCCAGATGATTCTGGAAGGCTGGCTGCTCGAATTATCCGTGATGACCGCATGCGGTCTGAGGCAACTCCGGTTTGGAACCCCGAGGCGCGCATCTGTAGTTACCACTGACCGCCCCCAGCCCTGGTCACCAGAGGCTCTGATTGGGGAGGGGACCCCACAAGGTACCAACACCGCTACTCCCCGCGAGGGCCTCCGGGGAGGCCCAGAAAAAGGCGAAAAACGGAGGCCGAGAAAAAGGTAGCGGTATCGGCACCTTTACTTCTCTGACTGATTAGGACCCCACCCAGCCCTAGCTGGTGATTTAGAAGAAGAAGAAAAATAAGAATAATAATAAGAAAACACATACATTATAAGAAGAAGAAGAAGAAGAATAATAAAGATAACAAAAAGACGCCATTACCATAAAACATAAACTTCTGGCGCTCCACGCGGATTTCGTGGATCCGCGCTGGACCATCCTCACTGGCGCGCGGAGCGTGCCAAAGGGGCGGCGCCGGAGGCGCCGCCGGGGGGGGGGCAGCGCGGATCCGAGAAATTCGCACGGAGCGCCAAAGGTTAATGGTTTTCTTTTTCTGCTTCTTCTGTTTCTTCTTCTTCTTCTTAGTACTATTATTGTTATTATTGTTCTTATTCTTTTTGATATTATTCTTCTTATTATTATTCTTCATCTTCTTCCTCGAGGTTTGGAACCCCGAGGCGCGAATCTGTAGCTACCGCTGACCGCCCCCACCCCTGGTGACTGGGGGCTCTGCTGAGGACCCCGCCCGCGACGTCATGAATCCTTCATGAGGTGGACCCCCAGCGGTCCGGACCCATTCCCCGGGACCGGTTCTTCATCCTGAATCCTTCTTTTCACAGCCACGAGGGCCAGTGAGGGCCCCCAGGGGCCGAAAATAGCGAAAAACCTCCCGCCGTGGTTTTTCCGTAACTCTCGGGGGTGGACAGAAAGCTCCTTTAGCAAAACGTGGTTCAGTGAAAACGACCTCGGGTCCAAACCTGGCGGACGCAAGCCTGGCAAATGACGGCCGCGGCGCCCCCTCGAGAACCGAAAACGGACAATTCACTGATCCACGTGTCCGGCTGGGAGGTCTGTCCACCCCCGATTCATGAGGTGGACCCCCAGCGGTCCGGACCCATTCCCCGGGACCGGTTCTTCATCCTGAATCCTTCTTTTCACAGCCACGAGGGCCAGTGAGGGCCCCCAGGGGCCGAAAAAAACGAAAAACCTCCCGCCGTGGTTTTTCGTAACTCTCGGGGATGGACAGAAAGCTCCTTTAGCAAAACGTGGTTCAGTGAAAACGACCTCGGGTCCAAACCTGGCGGACGCAAGCCTGGCAAATGACGGCCGCGGCGCCCTCTCGAAAACCGAAAATGGACAATTCACTGATCCACGTGTCCGGCTGGGAGGTCTGTCCACCCCCGATTCATGAGGTGGACCCCCCGCGGTCCAGACCCATTCCCCGGGACCGCCTCTGCATCCTGCATCCTCCTCTCACGGCCCCGAGGGCCAGTGAGGTCCTAGGGGCCGAAAGTGGCGAAACACCCCCCGTCGTGTTTTTTTCGTAGCTCGAGGGGGCCTGGGCCCCTCAGGGCCCCACCTCGGAGCCACCGAGAAGCGCGCGTCCGCCGCGGGGGCCCGGCGAGGCGCCGGCGCAGCAGCCAGCGCCGCGGCGTCCGCCGCGGGCGCGGGCGGCTCCGCGGGCGGCGCCGCGGGCGGCTCCGCGGGCAGCCCGCGCGCCGCGGGCTCCCAGCCCCGCAGCCTCGGGGAGGAGGAGGAATGAGGAGGAGGGAGGAGGAGGAGGAGGAGGAGGAGGCGGAGGAGGAGGAGGAGGGAGGAGGAGGAGGAGGAGGGGAGGAGAGGGAGGAGGAGGAGGAGGAGAGGAGAGGAGGAGAGGAGGAGGAGGGAGGAGGAGGAGGGGGGAGGCCGAAGCGAGCGGTGGCCCCGCGGAGAGTGGAGACGGTTTTCGAACAGCTTGAGAGGTGTTTTTTCGAGCACAGCTCGAGGAGCAAGCCGAGCTAGAGGGCGTCGTACAGCCAGGTCGGTGCGGCGGATCATTCTGCACCTATTTTGCGCTGCTTAGGAGCTCTGTAGCTGCTCTGTGGCTCGAGTTCGGTTGGGAAAGCTGAAGGGGCCCTGGGACACACAAAGAAATAGTCACAAACAACTGGATTCCCCATATTTCTTTATATTTTCTGGGTTTTTGTCTCCCCCCCTGTGTGTTGTGTCTGTGTGTGTTTTTCCCCCTTCTGAGACCATCATCACATGCAAAGCGTGCCGGCTCACGAGGATAGTCCCAGGAGAGCCCAGAATCGAATCGACGAGTCGGATCGGCGATCGCAGCGAATCGGATCGGCGGAGATCGGCAGGCTAGCGAGCCCCCACCGGAAGATCGGCGCCCCGATCGGAAGACGGAGTCGAACCGCGGTTCGAAATCGAACTCCATCGAAACCGAATCGGATCGGATCGGGTCGGCGGAGTCAAGCCTCGCGCGGCAACAGGGCCAACGATCCAACACGGGCCGCACGCGAGCTCGACTAACGGCCTCCTGCGGTGGCCTTGCCTGCGGGCCGCCGGCGCGGCACGCCACCCGGGAGGCGCGGGCGCTCATTTACGCGCGACCTCACGCGGGCGGCGCACGCGCCACCCCGCCTCCTGGTGTCACCCACGGGGTGTCCCGGGCTCCCCAGCTCACGTCGGGCCCACGTCGGGGCCCAGCCGCTGGCCTGCGTCGGGCAGGCCCGCCGGCTTCGCGCCGGTCGGCTCCCGGCCGCGCAGCCTCGGGGTGCCGCCCGAACCTGGACCGCCTCGGGTCGAAGCCCAACAGCGGCAGTCGCTTCGACATCGCCTCGGCCTCGCCGGGCCGGGCCCCGGGCCCCGGGCCCCGGGCCCCGGCCCCGCAGCTGCCGGGGTGGGCACCCAACTCGAGCGGTGGCCCCGCCAAGCTGGCAGCACTTCCAATCCACCTTGGACTACAGCACTGTCCTGGTGAGCCGCTTCGACATCCTGGCGTCGCCCGCGCTCCCTGCATCGCCCCTGGCACGTTCGCTGACAGCGCAGACCCTGAACCGCTCAGACAGGCATCCTTGAGCGCCCGCCATAGGCACCTTGGCTCTCGGCATCCCAGGCATCAGCATGACCGTTGAGTTGTAGAATCGCATCGGTGAGTCCGGCGGCATTCCCGAGCATTGCAGTTCGCTCTGAGAATGGCCTGCGCTGCACAGATGTTTGCAAATGTTGGCGCGCGCTTCGGAGGAAGCTGCGCAGGCAGACCGCCCACACACCCGGGCCCGCACCGCCCCTCACAAAAAACAGATCCTGCAGGCCTCGCGCGGCAGCTCGAGACCCAATCTACGTCAGATTTACGTCGGGGTCACGTCGGATCTGCATCGGGTTCACGTAGGACTCAAAGTCGGAACATCGCAGCACAAAGCGGGACCCCCTCGCCCGCTCCGCTGAGATCCGACGTTGCGGCGCGGACAAAATGCAACGTCGCGAAAAGTCACTGCCAAAGCCATCGACCCAATCTTGTTGCGCCAGTTCTTTTGAAACCGATCGACCTGTGATATCGCCAAGTAAGATCGCAAGTGAGAAAAATGGCGATATTGCCAAGTGAGACAATGCGATATCGCAACCGAAGTCCGAAACAATGCAATATCGCCAAGTGAGAAAAAAAGGCGACGCCTGGATTCTGAGGGCCGGGTCATGAAAAAATCGCGACAGGATCTGTTTCGCTATGCCCGGCCTCTTAAGGGGCCCTCACCGGGATCGGGAACCGTTGCAAAACGGCTCGGGAGGAGCAGCTGGCTCCTTGGTCGAGACCTCCGGGGGTCCCCACGCCGCGAGAAAATCGTGACGTCGGGGGCCTGGGAACCTTGCGGGGACCGCAACCGTGTGGTGGGCCCAGCGGGGGCCTCGGGGTGGCCGCGCGGCTTTGGGACCCGGGCCGCTCCCTCCGGGGGCGCAGCCTCCGGCAGCCTGGGGCCTCCGAGGGCCTGAAACTCTGCGGAGCCGGGCCCTGCGGGCTGTCGTCGCACCGTCCCCAGGCCCCCGACGCCTGTGTTTTCCTAAGCGTCAACCCCGACCCCTTCCCCGGGAAAAGGCTCTTCCTCCCGAGCCGCTGCTCTTGCCGGTTCCGACACCCCGAGGCCCCGCAAGGGTCCCCATGTGCAGGGGCCCCGTCGTGGATTCTCATGTCTCGGGGGTGATGGGCCCATTTTCCACCACCACTGCCATAGGCAGGACGGGGGAGAAGGGAGGATGGGGAGGTCTTCTTCCTCCTCCTCCGCCTCCGCCTCCGCCTCCGCCTCCTCCTCCTCCTCCTCCTCCTCCTCCTCCTCCTCCTCCGCCTCCGCCTCCTCCTCCTCCTCCTCCTCCTCCTCCTCCTCCTCCTCCTCCAGCTGCCATCTGGGCCTAAGATATCGTCAGGGCAGCCCAGACCGCCACCATGCTGTTCCTCGGACCGAGCAGACAGAAGGGGCGGCGGCCCGCATGATGACGGCACTCGCAGCTTCTCTCGCTGTACTCCTCTTCAACCCACTCTCGGCAAAGCCCGACAGGCTCGCGGAAATATACGAGGAGGCCAACAATTTTGACATCATCGTGCTAGTGGGGACATCACGCAGACGACGCGACCCAGTCATCACGCAGCACCGCTGCGACAACACACGCTACTACGACGCGGGCTGGCAACCAGGAGAGCTGACCAACCGCAGCACGGGCATAATCATCGCGCTGCAGGGACGACTGCGAGGGGCTAAGGTGATCGACATCCAGGAACCGACGCCCGAGCTCAGTGGAAGAGGCCTCGCGATCACCCTGCAGCATCACGACCAGACGCTGCTGATCATAGGATACTACAGTCCGCCGCAACCCAACAAGGGCAAGACGACCAGGAAAGAGTACTACGCTACGACGAGCAGATTGTTCAATTGGATAGAAGAGACCAGCAAACGGAAGCATAGACACACGATGCTCATTGTGGCGGGCGACCTCAACGACGGCATCGGCATCACACAGAAAGGAGGACGACCAGATACACCAGCACTCGGAGAAGGCAGATCGCCCGAACGACTACCAGGCGGCGCTGGACAGAAGGCTCGCATCTACGCCGACCGCTACGATCTCAGCGTGGTGAACACGCTCGGGCAATGGCGTCCCACATATTTCGGAGAGAAGAACGCGAGCTGCATCGACTACATTATGATACCGAGGAGCATGACCGAGACAATGATATCTCAAGGACCCTTGCTCAGGATGGGAACACGCTTACAACACATACGCTGCCGATCTAGACGAGCCCACGTTCCAGTGCAGGTGACCTTTCGGCTTCCTTTACGGCAACAAGTACGGCAGCGACCTCAGCTACCGAGATGGGACAAGGACAGCCTCGCACTCGCAGTACGACACGGACTGCACAGAGGAGAATACATCAAGAAGGTAGAGCAGCGAATAGAGGACTACGACCCAGCAGGAAAGGGAGACGATCAGCTTTTCGCGGACATCAACACCATCCTCGTAGAGACAGCCCAGCAGTACTACAGCCAGGCGCCGAAACCGACCGACGACTACGAGAGGCTCCGCAACGAGCGCATGCAGCTACTAAGACAACGCAGAGCAGCCCGTTCAGTACTTCACGAATTACACGCCGCGCATTATGAGGCTAACCGCACGCCAGCGCCCGAATCGTCGCCTCCCCCGTTTTGCGCGGACGTGCTCGAATCCAGGGACCCTCCAGGAACGGTCGCCGACCCACCCAGGACCCAGGAAGAGACAGAGCTGGAAGGCAACCCATACACCACAGACGAACAAACGATCACGGAGACCGAGCAGCGCATGCGCGAGATAGAGAAAAAGCTGCAGGACATCACGAAGACATGCCAACGACAACGACGACACGCACAGCAACTACGTACAGAGCAACGAGTCGAATAACTATACGAGGCGTGGGAGGAAAGGGACCTGGCAAGAGTTGGAAGACTATCACGATTGATCGCGGGAGGAAGATACGGACCACGCAAGAGGGACTTCTGGACGGCTACGACGGCGAACCCCACGAAGCAGGAATGGCTCGATTTTTGGCAACTACCAGGTGGCTCAGGCGGCATGGAAGGCACCGAGCAGGACACGCAGCACCTGGAGGCCATCCCGCACAACGCCGAGGAGAAGGACTACGACGAGGATGGCCTGGAGGAAAAGATAGAGGAAGACTACAACGAGATTGCCAAAAGCCTCAAACGAGCACGCCTACGAAGAGCAGCACCACCACCGGCGGCACCAGCGGAGATATGACGACTACTACTATGCCCACCGAAGGCGGAACACCAACCACGCCAACGACACGGCCTCGGACATCAAGAGGGAGATGGAAAACCCGAACAGTTTCAAGCATTATTGAAGGCGGCCTTGGCTGCGATACGCATCAGCAACGTGGCACCAGTTCGATGGCATCAAAGCACGGCGACGGCGTTTAAGAAGAACACGAAGAAAGGACCAGCAGGCAAGAGAATCTACCACATCATGGACCCCATCGGCAAGGCATACTACGCTGCAGGACTCAGGAAGCATCGACAACACACCCACACGGGCCAGGACTACGGGTTCATCAAGGGACGACGACGAGAAGGAGCCATCCTCACCATGTCAGTCATCGAGTACAGGGCTCGCAACGCAGGCTACAATTACGCGTCCACCATGAAGGACATGTCCAACGCGTTCGCCAGCTGCAAGTGGCTTACCATGGACGCGGCCAACAGCAACATCATGCCGCAGGACCTCTGGGACCTCGGAGAACAACGATACCGCAGGGCGACGTTCAACATTGATTGCCGAGACGACACGCAGGGAATATGCATCAAGCCCCACTGCGGCGGCCTCATCGGCGACCCCTACATGGTGCGCAACTTCGTAGCCAGCTTCGCCCCTTGCATCCAGAGGTGGACCAAGGACTGCAACGACGAGATAGAGTACGACGAGTTACTGTATGGAAGAAGTGAACTGTTCCAACATCCAGTATACGTGGGGCTGACGAAGTACGCGGACGACATACGCAAGATCATCTTGAACGGGAAACAGGCCAATCCCAAACTGCTCGCCGACCAGGCTCACAAGATAGACGACACGCTGAACAGACGCCTGAGCGAGATTGGCCTGAAGCAAAACCAAGCTAAGCAGGAGACGATAGTACACTTTCAGTGAGAAGGCGCCAGCCAGGCGCATCAACGAATCAAGAAGGACCCGCAATGCACACTTCCAGGCAAAGTGGTGGCGGTGGCTCGGTACCTGGGCCCTCAAGTAACATCGACGCAGAGCTACTACCCAGAGTTGCAGAAGCGCATCCAGGCCATGAAGAAGAGCTACTACGAGTGCGGCAGGTTCTGGACCAAGCGAGAGATACCCTACAAGTGGAAGCGCGCGGTCCTCATATGCAGGGTCATCAACACGGGGCTTTCGTGTATCGAGTGCTACTTGCCCACGCCCAACGAGTACCAGATGCTCCAGAGCGCGATGGGCGCCATCCTGAGACGGGCGATGGCAGGCCGAGCCAGCACGCACAACGAAGACGGCTCGGTACGTAGTCTGACAACGCTGGAGGTCTTCCGCTACTGGCAGATCCTTCCTCCAGCGGAGAAGGCACTGGTCCGCAGACTTGGCTGGACAAAAAATATATTGAGATTCCCGAACAATCACCGCCACCTCATCGTCGCCTTGTTCGGACGCCTCGAATTCGAGACCAACGATGACGGCACGACAGACGAGCTGGCGACGCACACGAACCCCTGGGCCCGACGAATCGAGGAGGATGTCACGAAGGCCTGCCAAGTCTCGGAGAGCTTCAGAAACATCTTCGGGGAAGAGCAGGTCAAGATAGGTAAGATGTTCACGCTAGTGATTAGAGAACAACTGCACCTACTAGACGTACGCGAGGTCAGAGCAGCTACATTGACGGTAGCAGTTCCTCCTCCAGGCTACACTCCCAACGACGAACTCCGAGAAGACTTAGCCCTTCAGGACCTCCAGCCTTGGAAGTGCTCGCTCGGGGACGAGTCTGGGGAATGCGGACAACTGTTCGCGAGCAAAAAAGCGCTACACAATCATGTCATTCGGAATCATAACGTACACAATTTAGCCGCTCTATTAACTACGAACAACGAGTGCATCAATTGCTACCAATGCTTCACGAGCCGCGGAACAGCCTGGAAACACCTGGCCAGGAGTTTGATCACGGGCAGCTGTAACCCAGATAGGACACGAAACCAGAGCCAGCCGACTAAACCGAGCACGACATGTCCTCTCTGCAGCCATCTCTTCTTAGACAAGGGCGCCTTCTTCACACACCTGTGCACGCATCTACCCAGACCACTACTGCGACCTCAGGCACAGGATGGCGCTCTTCGACCAGCGCCCAGCCTGGGCGCCAGCGGAGGCGGCAGGAGGACCTCAGCGACCAGACCGCAGTCGACAACCACGACGAGCTGCCGCAGGAGGAGCACCAGTGGGAGGAGGAACAGCGGTGGCCAACCCGCACATAGTGGACCTCACGGCGCGCCTCACCCTGACGCTGGCGCGCGAGCAGGCCGAGCTGGCGTCGGCCGTCATCCAGACGCGGGAGATCAGCGCGCAGAGCGGCATCGCGCAGGCGGGCTTACAGGCGTGCCAGACGTACAACGACGACGCGCAGGACTTACGACGCAGAGCAGCAGATGGAGAACAAGTGGACACGGCCTCGCTCGGCAGCCCCCACATCCGCGTGTGGACCGAAGTTGTGAACTACATGGGGCGCACGTACGACGCAGGAGCGGAGAGAGACTACCTCGAGAAGTACTACAAGGACGTCATCTTGAGTGGCAGCGCGGAGAAGGTAGCAGACGGCATCCCGATCTTCCGCGTTCGCAGGAACAAGGGCAAGGAGGGGGGCGCCACGGAGAAGTGCAGGTTCCAGTTCCAGGTGAAGGCAACGGACACGCAGCTGGAGACGATCATTACGCGCGCCCTCCGCAAGGAGGGAGCGAGCCGCAAGATCGGGGCGGCGCCACGTGGAGCACTGGAGCGAGAACTGGGACGTCTCGTCAACTGAGTCAGAACGACACGGAGAGAGGAGCGGCGCATAGCGATGTGACTGAGCGGACGGTGCGGCTCTGTTCCGTCCCAGCGAGCGCGGCCCCTCAGGCCATCCCGCGAACTTTTCTCACCAGCGCACGATTCCACGAGCTGGTCAGGGAAGGCCGCCTCCCCCCTCCTCCGCCTCCGACTGGGACTCCCGACCTTCTCCAACTCCGAGGCCCGAGTTTTCCCAACTATTTTGTCGTGCACCGACCTCCCCCGCCCCCACCCGAACCGAAGCGAAAGGGTAGGGGAAAGGGACGAGGCAGACGAGGCAGGGGAGTAGAGGAGACAGCGAGAGGGCACTCGTAAAAGCGGGTGCTACCCTGCCCGCAGACCCCTGCGTGGGGAAGGTCGGTGCAGGTAGGGCCCGAGCGTCTAAGTGGCGCCCGCGACCCCCTTTCAGCAAAGTGACCTCAGCTAGGCCACACAACTTTAGTAAGCAGCACAGCACGTAGCGAGAGTGCAGCACCGAACCGGCCCGAGAGCTCGATCGATCGATCGATCCTCCTCCTCCTCCTCCTCCTCCTCCTCCTCCTCCTCCTCCTCCTCCCTCCTCCTCCTCCTCTCCTCCTCCTCCTCCTCCTCCTCCTCCTCCTCCTCCTCCTCCTCCCCTCTCTCACCTACGGTAGTGGTGATGGAAGATAATCGGCCCCTCAGGAGGGGGCTGGGTCTTGGGACCCCCAGCCCGCCGCTGCTCCGCCGACGTCGTCCCGAGCAGGGCGTCTGCCACGGGCACCCGGAAGGTCCGGCCGGCCCCGGCGAAGCGCAGGAGGCGCTCGTCGGGCGGGGAGCTGGGCGCCACCGTCTCGCAGAGCACCGCGTCGTCGACCACCCTCCACCGGCCGAGCTGCTGCTCGTTGTCCGAGGTGAGCCCCTCGCGGAACCACTGCAGCGAGTACGTCCCGCCCTGCCGGAAGCAGAAGGAGAAGGACAGGCACTCCTCCACGCCGCCGAAGTCGCGCACGGTGGAGTGGTGGTAGGACAGCTCCGAGCTCCTCGCCACCGCCTTGGCGAAGCGGATCCGGTGCTCCAGGCCCATGGCGCCGTAGATGTGTGCGGCCCAGGCACGGCAGCAGAGCCTGCCGCCCACATCGTTCAAGCAGCTCAGGATCCTCGACAGGCACGCCTCGTCCAGACCCGCCATGCCGCGCTCCGTGCAGGGCTGAAAACACGCGCCTTGAGCCTAAGCGCCCACGGAGCGGCGACCCCAGCGGCGTTCCCGGCGGCGGCTCGGGAAGGACCCAGGACGACGGCGGCCTGCCCCAGCGGTGAGGCGGCGCCCCCACGACGACGCGGCGGCGGCGGCCTGGGAGCGGCGGACCCGCTCTCGGCGGGACGACGACGCCGACGACGACCCCCTAGTCCGACCGACCCCCGGGTGCCTGCCAGGTCCAGGGTTCGACCGAAATGCTTCGCTTCAGCGCGCAGGAGCCAGGCCGACGTCGCCCTCTTCGGCTGCTCCGTCCTGGACAGCACTCGGGAGAACCCGCCCGCCTGTCCGCGCCAACAGCCTCTGGCGGGGGACGCGCCCGCCACGAGCACCGCCGCCGTCTGCAGCGGGCAAGCTCGGTTGTTGGTTGCACCGCGTCCTCCTGTGGGCCGCGGCGAAGGCACATCCAGAGGGCACGACCGCGGCGATTCCGACGACGAGCCCTGTTTGAAATGGGCAGGAGGGGGTGCCGATCTTCTTCCCATGCTTCCCCTGGTCGTGTCAGTGCCGATTTGCAGATTGAGCCATGTCCTCCCGCGGGCCGCCGCGAGGACTCATCTCAACGGAAACCTGGAAACCTTTACAGAGGAACAACAACTGGCATAAACATAACTTGGCGCAGGGAGCGCGCCAGAGGCGTCGCCAGGGGGGTCCAGCGCAGATCCAAGAGATCCGCGCGGAGCGCCGAAACGTGATGCTGATGTCTCGTTTCGTTGCTCGAGGGGCGGGCGCCGTGTGGAGGCGCCAGCGCCGAGACCACAGCGGGGCCACTGCATGCCCACAAGCTGGCCATCGCTCGGACGTCCATTCCCTGTGCTTTTTGTCGGCTTCGTGCGTGGCTTTCTCGCCGAATGATCAAGGATGCTCCTCGATGGCCCTCGCCGAGAAAAAAAGAGGCACATGTCCGAGCGAATGCCGGGCAGGATGGCCCGGGCCGCTGGGGCCGCTGGGCGAGGCGAGACGCCGCTGGGGCCCTGGCCGCGCTGCGCTGCCGGCGCAAAGAGCACCCCGATGGGGGGCGCGGGCCCCGACCGCAGCCCGGGAAGCCCTGCGGCGCGCGCGCGGTTGTGAGCCTCCCATAGGGGGCCTCGGCGGGCTCCGCGGCCCTGTCACAGACGTGGCCTCGACAGGATATTTGGTCCAGATCTCGGCCGCCGCTCGGCACCCTCTGCTCGTCCAGGTCTCGCCGGGAGGCCGACCGACTCCGACGAGTGTTCCGGAGGCGAGCTCCGAAACAGCACGCGGGGGCTTGCGGGGCCCGCTCGGGCACCCCCGGAGTACCACGTAGGCGCACCCTCTTTCTGCCCGGGCGACTTCACCGCAAACTGTCGACCCGTGGGGCTATACACGTCATTCGTTTCTAGTCGTGCTCGTTTCCAATTCTGATTGTTCCTGGCCCCCCAGTGGCCAGCAAGAGGCCCAGGATAGAACAAGCAGAAATGCAAAGAGCTTGCCCCCCCCCCGAAAAAAACCAAAGAACTGTCAAAACTTAGAAATGAACACTGTGAATGTATACATACATACATACACACATACATATATATATATATGTATATATACATATACATATATATATATATATATATATATATATGTATATATACACACATATATATATGTATATATACACATATATAGATATGTGTATCATACGCCTCTCGGTGCATCTCGCTCTCCGCGCGCTCCCTGCCCGCGCTCGCCGCCGCCTCAACCTTGCGCGCGGGCCACCGCCGCGCCGCCCTCTCCGCCCGCCGGCGCCCCTTGCATCTCCTGGCTGCTTCGGCCCTCCCGGAGCCCCGGGAGACGCTCAAAGACGTCCAGTTCGACCGTGCTCGGGCACCGCGTCCTGAATCCTTGCTGCTTCGACCCTCCCTGTGAGCCACTGGAGACGCTCCAAGACGTCCAACTTGACCGTGCTCGGGCACCGCGTCCGGGATCCTGGCTGTTTTGACCCTCCCGGAGCCACGGGAGACGCTCCAAGACGTCCAGTTCGAACGTGCTCGGGCACCGCGTCCTGATCTCGGGAGCGGCCAAGAGGGGGGTGTCCAAGAGGGGGGGGTGCAAATCATGACCGGCGGCACGTGCGCGGCCCAGGGGGGGGGCCAGGGACGTCATGAAATGAGAAGAGGCGCCACGAGATCTGGGGAAATACCATGGCCCCCGCCATGATACCCAACCCCCCCTAGTCATCACCCCCCTCTTTTCTGCCCCCGATGATCTTTCGTACGGATCTCGAGGGCAGCTGCCCCGTGGCCGGAAGCCCTGACGCCTCTGCGGGCCCGCGTTCTGCGGGAGCTCCGCGGCCCCGCCCCGCCCCATCCGGAGGTGGGCCTCCGCGCTCTTGGGGGTCCTCCCGGGGCCGGCAGCGAGATCCAGCTCGGGGGTGGTCCGGCCAGCGCGACAGGCGGCGGCGTCCGTGCCGCCCGTCTCCGCTCTTGTGCTCTATGTTTTCATAATGGCGAGGCGCATCGCCTGCTGTGCTACCTGTGGTGCTGTTTTGCTCTCCGGTGGCTCACGGATGTTGCGTATGTGCATCCGTCTCATGTATACGTCTATATATATATATATATATATATGTCGATTCGCGTGTGTTCTTGCTTCGTGGTCTCGCTGCTGGAGCGGAGGCCGCACGCGCGAAGCCGCCTGTGCGCCACGCACAAGTTGCGGCTGGCCCCGACCTTCCTCCTCCCTCTCCTCCTCAGCCGCCGACCGCTGGCCTTCTCCCAGCCAGGATATCCGCCAGCATCGAGCCGCGAAGTCGGATCGGATCGGCACGAGCATCAGGTCGGGCATGCCCCCCTACAGGGGATGTCGGACGACACATCAAGAACAATCCAAACGTAATCAAACAATTATGAACGTTTTGGCTATTATTGAACATCATTTGGCTATTCTTTGAATATCGTCCCCCGACTCTTTTTTGACTGTTATTGAACACCCCTCCTGTAGAGGAACAGGCCCGACCTGCAACGAGCATCGCATCGGGCTGCCTCTGCTCGGAGCCGGCGTCGGACCGCACCGGCCGCGCGCGGCCCTGCTCTCTGAGGACCCGGGCGTCGTCGTGCGGGGACCCCCCGCCCCAAATCGGCAGGAACCCCCCCTCTCGCCATCGCTCGGACGTCCATTCCCTGTGTTTTTTTCGGTTTCGTGCGTGGTTTTTTCGCCAAATGATGAAGGATGCTCCTCGATGGCCGTCGCCGAGAAAAGATGCACACGTCCGAGCGGTGCCAAGTCCTGGGGTGCGCCCCGCCCAGTCCTTCGAGCTGCGTCCGGCCGAGGCCACGAGGGACGCCCAGGGGAGACCCCAGAGAAGACTCGAGCCCTCGAGTCCTCGAGCCTAGGCGTCCGACGGTGTGATCTCTGGTCGGTCCTCGGCCCCAGAGGCCCCGACCTCTGCCCCGGGGAGCAGCGTTCCGCCCGGGATCCTTTTCGCGCGGCCCTGGGGCCCGGCGACGAGCTCCAGAGGCCGAAGTCGAGGAGAAGCGCCCGCATCTGCAAAGCCAGGTCGTCGGCTTAACTGCCCCCATGCGCAACACGCGACCCGTAGCGTTGACACGGGGCTGAAACAAGTGGGCTGAAAAAGCAGGTGTGGCACGGCACGTTCGCCAAAATGTGGGCCAGCGCATGGAGCCAACGCGCAGCGTGTTGACACGAACGTTTTGAACACGATGCGTGTTGCGCTTCTAAATGGGCGTACCAGGGCAGCTAAGATGGGATAGAGAAAGAAATAACTTCATCAGCATAGTATTCCGACGGCCCGCGCGGATTTCTTGGACCTGCGCTGGACCCCCATCTGGAGCGCGCCAGGGGCGGCGCTGGAGGCGCCGCCAGGGGGGCCCGAGCGCAGATCCAAGAAATCCGCGCGGACCATCGACAGTTTACACGCCGGTCGGAAGAAGTGGGTGGAAACATGAAGTAGGAAGGCGGGTAAAGCAGATTGGGCTCGGGCCCTCCCAGAGAATAGCAAAACACGGCAAAGTCAGACAGAGTCTCTTGAAGCAGGAAGGCGCTCGAGGTAGAGTGGGATCTGGCCGTCCGGAAACACCTAGGTACTTCAAAGACTGGCGTGTCTGCTCGTGCAGCTTGACCTTCCAACGTCAGCGATCTGGGAGCCTTGAGTGAGCAGAGACCGACCGCCCCGGCAGTCCTAGAGGCCTACCACGAGATGCTCTTAGAACCCAAGCATGTTCTAAGAACGAAAACGGTGTTCGCATAACATGAAAATTTGATGTGTTCAAAGAAGACAGTCCGAGCCAGAAATTGTCCGAGAACATGTCGTGGACGCCACACGAGGCTCTCAGAACATTGCTTGGTAGGCCTCTAGGCACGCCAGGACGCTGCGCCACTGCTTGACTCCAGGCCCCGCTCCGGCCGCACGCCCGACATGGGTACAGAAAGAATGGGTACAATGCCCAACAACAAATGTTGTCCCAAACCGACAGCGGCCGCTGTTGGGCAGGCGGCCTTCTGCAGTGCATGGACACAGGCCGCGGCGGCGTGGACAGCGAGTCCTGTTCAGAGTGAGGCAGATCCGCTGTTGGGCATTGTACCCATTCTTTCCGTGCCCATCTTGGGCGTGGCTTAATGGGGGGGTCACAAATGGGGGGGTCAGAAACGGTCCCCTTTCGTGCCCCTTTCGA